TTCAGGTTTCTGTTCTTAGCCTTTAATATGTTTAATGAAATGGTTTTCATTTACAATAATGTTTTCACAAAGGCTATGGGCTTCAGTTAGTCTTCAGGGCATTGTTGGCTAGCGATGCCTAAACTACTCACAACAAGTTTAGACTCTTTTCTATTGCTCCTTGCTGGTAGTGGAACCAGAACCAGGACATCCCTGTCTGTCTTTAGGAAACAGATGATGAACCAGCTCCTTAAAGAACATCTTCTACCCTCTTACTTAACCTATAAACCAAACTACCTACCTCCTCTGGGGTAAGATCTCTCTGTGCGCTTTCCTCTATTTCTACACTGTCTCCCCAGTTACCTCTGACTAATCCCACCTTGAGGACTGCCTTCCAAATAGCTTATTGTTAGCTTTCTAAGTGTTGACAAAATAAGGCAGGAAACCTGAGAGATTTAACACATTTCGACAGTTTTTTTTTCTTCTGGTATTTCATGTTTTTTAGGACCAAAGAAAAATCCACACCATCAGGGATCCCTCCAGTAAGGTTGACTTTTTTGAGCGAAAGTCCCATTTCTCCAGAATGTGTATGAATAGTTGCAAACACTCAAAGCAGGAAACAAAGGAGATAGCTTTTTTAAATAAATTTGTAGCCTTTATACATGCAGGCAGCCTATACTCGTGTTTACCAACACAGTATCAACAATTTGCACAACAGAAATAAAACATTTCCAGCAAATTATTACACAAATACACGTTTCCGTTTTGTTTGAAACTGGGTTACAATGGCTCAATAGCTTCCATTAGCAATTGATTTGTTGGCATTGAGGTTACAGTATGTCAAAACAGTATGATCTGATAAATGATCAAATATGCCAACAAATTGTATATTGTTTATGTTTTGGGACAAGTCAATGAAATCAAATTCTTAGGTGTGATTATTCCCTACAAGATCTGCTGGAAGCCTTTCATCAAACACGTCCAGGCTAAACTATGTGGAAGCTTTGCAATTCTATGTAAAGGAAAACCTTTTCTGAGTTATAAAACATTATGCATTTTCTACTCATTTTACCATGCATGAGCTATTGTGTACGTAAAACTGTGGAGTAACACCTACTGGGCATAACTAAGACTGTTAAGCATGCTGCAGAAAAGACTCATCATAATAATTCATTAGGCTGGTTATCGTGACCATGTTATTTTATTAATTCCTGTTTTGTTTTAACTTTTAAATTTAATTTATGTTGTTAGGGAATTTATCCCTTAAATGTGAAGAATAATTAAGTAAAACCAGATGTGGTTGGCTGCACAAAGTTTGAGCACTGAAACATTTGAGCAGAATGGTAAACATCCAAACTTCCATTTAAGTCTGTCTAAAAAATTTTGAATGCAAATATGATGAGTCATACACTGATTTCATACAGTGAAATCTTTAAAATAGGGCTTTAAAACATGCTCACCATGCCCTTTCTTCTCTGTCAGCTTATTGTCAGCCTTTGGGCATCATATTTTTATCAGATTATCATTCACCGTGTTGCTGTAATTCACATCACACCTCACAAAGCATCCAAATTGCCCCTTTACTGTCACCTTAAACGCTTTTATAAATTTAACAATTTCAGTCCTTGAGAACGTTATTATAGTAACAGGTAGTTGCCTCTTCCACCATGCATGTTTTAGACTTGACCTCAGATTGAGCCAACCTGTTACCACAGATCAACCAATCAATCAATCAATAGATCAATTTCTTTATTTTTTACTACAATTTGCATTGTTAAAGAGATTTCAGTTTCAGTACAAACTGTTTTTTGGGGAACGATTTACTGAGGCCATGCATGTCGAAGAACACTGCCTTTGGTGCATTCTTATGGCTCCCAAGGGCCCCACCATGAGGCGCTTCCCTATAGCCTGCACTGATACCTGTGCTGACGAAAGGCAAGAAGCAATCAGCACACACACAAAAAAATCAGCAAACAAAACAGCAAAGTGGACGATAACATTTGTTTGCTTTCTTAAGAAAGAAAGAAAGAAAGAAAGAAAGAAAGAAAAAGAGAAAGAAAGAAAGGAATTCATATAAAATAATGCTGACTAAAAATTCAATTCATAAGGTTCAGTTACTGTAGTCTTACCTGTGAGCTTTGCTTCCATGCTTCCTTCTCAAGGCGGCAGTCATTGCACCCTTTACATGTGGCCTGAGCCCACAGTTAAATACTTAGTGTTAGCCCATGGCTCAGTGTCTGACAGCTGACAGACTGACAAGGCCACTGAAAATGATGTGCCTGTGATGATAACAAGCCGGAGAGAACAAATCAGAGGCCCACAGGGATAGAGAGGGGAAACCCAATGACAGCAGCAATCACACCACGCTGAGTAGGACTAATAAGGCAGACAGAAGGCATTACACTGACCAAGACATAATGATGACAGCAACAGAGAGAGTCGATTACATGAACAGAGGAAGATGCCTTGGTTATAGAGAAAGATTTTACAAAGTCCTGATCTCTCTACTAAGTTGCTGCCCTCACCTGCAAAATATCTCAGTGATCAACTGATTGCCACATAAATTGTTAATCAAGCCGGATAAATATATGTGTTACATTTATTTCTAACATATATACCTCAAATTAAAGAATTCTGTCATCAAGCTTATGCAAGGTCTACTCTGAAGATTTTTATTTAACTTAGAAATGAACAAAAACACACTTAGTAGAAATGTGTTGTTAAATGCAGCTAAAAGTTAAAAATACAAGGTGAGTTTTTTTGGTTAAAAGGAATCTAACAATCTAACAAAAAACTACCAAAGTACAGATACAGTGCAGTAAATTTCCTCATCTGTGTCATTTGGGGTTGTAATTTCTCTAACATAACAAATAATCAAACTGATCATTACAGGTGAAGCAGTTTTCTCCACTGTTGTTTAAATTTTTAATAATCAAAGAAAAACATGCCTCTAAATCTGACTTGATAATAACACTGTTGTTCGCCTACTTAGTGATAGCACTGAAGTGAACAAAAAAATATATTTTTCTGTAGAACTCCAGGTCCTGATAAGAAAAAAAAATGCTCCTCAAAATATGAAGCTATCAGACTTCATTAGCCATGAATAGGAAAACATTTGTAGATCAACATCCTGAGATTGAGAAGATCTTCTGTATATATTGCCAGGCCAGCTTCACTGCTAAAGGGGATCAATTCTAACTTGTTGTTCATTTGTAATGCTAGTGGTACAGCAGGCTGCTTCTGTCTATTGGTTTTGTTGATCAAAATTACCACCAGCTTTGAACAGGTTAGTTTGTTCCAATCAATTCTGGTTTCCATCCATGTAACACCGTTTGTTCTGACTTTAGATAAATAGATCTAAAAAGTAGGTGGATCCTTCCTTTAATTACATGCATAAAACTTTAACTCATTCAAATGTTACTAATTTCTTCAGCACAGAAAGGTTATTTCCCCCTGTGACGCTTCAAGGAGCAGATCCTTTTGTTGCACGTGGTTTGATAATCAAAACAAGATGCACATTCTGGTCTGCACATAAATAGCTTAATGAATTTCTCCTCTGCATCCCATTTCATTTGTGAAGCACAGCACTATAAACAATAAAGACAATATGAATAATGTTTTTTTTTTATTATGTCTTACTGTATACTGTAGCAAGGGAAAGCACAACAGATTTACTTTCAGAAGATACAAATATAACATCTTCATTGGACATTGCCAGGGATTATTTCCAATGCAATGAACCAGGTAATAATATGTTGTAAGACATAAACTTTAATAAACGGGAGATTTAAATAAATGAAATGACAGAAAGCTCCTTGTGGTACTAAAGTGTGCTTTGCCTTCAGAGTTTGTCAAACTGAGAATTAGAGACCATTGCATCTTTAAGATGTCTGAGAGACAAAGCTGTTTACAGTCAGTTAAATGAAGAAAGATGCAGACAGACTGAGTTAAAGTTGACTCTTGAGGCTTGTTCCACATTCAGTGTAGACTGTGTCCAATGCTTGCCTCTTTAAACTCCTCTCTCTGTTCAAGCAAATGTCGTATCATTTTTGTGGGAGTTCCTGAAAGCAGTTTGTCTTCATGTTCTATCCTCAAACATTTTCTTTCAGTTCTCTGGAGGGGAGACAATCTTTGTTTGTTTTTTTAGGTAACATGAACATAAAGCTTTGAGACTTTGCGATCATTTTTGACCCTCATAGTCTCATCACAGAAATAGTTTTTGTTGTACAAATTGAGAATTTTTAAATTAATGTGACTGATTATTTTCTTAAAACTCTAATGCTGTCTAACCATATAATATGTTTTAGTTGCTGATTGTATCCTGATAAGTTGTTGCAGATTATAGTATCAACCATCTAAATCCTGCTCTTAATTTTCTCATAAGAATCTGACAATATTTGTTTTCTAATATATATATTTTTTAAAATGGTAAACAACTTTTAACCAAACAACATTTTACTGAAGATTTTTCTCTAAAGCTTAAGAGACTATTTTACTCAAAACATTAGCAAATTAATCACAATTTATATACAAGTAGTTCATCTTAAGCAGCCAAAGCAGCAGAGTGGTGTTGTATGGGGAGAATAAGCTGAGGAATATAGTATTACTATAGTAGTACGTAGTTAAGTTATTCATCTACCCCCAGGGTATTTTTTTTTTTATGTTTCAGCTTTATACCAAGTGACTTAAAAAGACTTTTGCTCTGGGAGAAGCACCGACATCTGTTGTTTTCTGGATGCATCAGTGCATTCAAGAAGTTATATTTACATAAAAAGTTCCTGGTGTCTGTTGATGTATTCAATCAGGCTTTGAGGCTGTTGGGACAAAGCTTTTATCCCCGCTTATCTAACTATAGTAACTGGATAATTTCAAATCTTCTCCTCCTTGTTAAAAATATAGTTACTCCTCCGCAATATTAGCTTTGCTCATCAGAGATCTCTGGCATCTCCAAGCCGACTGTTATTGTTACACCATCATCTCCTCAGGATCTAATATTTCCCCTTATATCCCTCTCCTTCCAGTCATCTGCAACTTCCGAGGCTCAGTGACTCAAGGTTTGGCTCTGGAGGTGGGAGAGACAGTGCAGATCTTGGAAAAATGTGAAGGTAAGGCTTCAATGTCATAAATTTCTCTTTGTAATTGTAATAATGTACTTCTTCATTGTTACAAAGAGCTTTAACAAACGCCCAGAGCACACGTTAAACATATCCTCTAAGATTTAGCATAAATATTTAATCATCCTCTTTTGTCAAAGGTTTTTTTGCATACATAAGGAGATAATAAAACTGTGGGGATACACACATAATAAGATTTTCCCAGCTGAAAGAGGAACATTTCTGTTGTGCAGACTGTTTTAGATTTAGCCTTTCTGTTTCACATTATGCTATTCTTATAGAAACAATCTAGTTTCCTGTGATGCAACAATATTATTGTATCATAAATATGAAAAATAGAAAAGTTTGTCTGTAGTTGGCAGAATTCAGGCCATTTGATTCTTATAGAACATAATTAGGATTGAATACAATTAGAATAGAATTCAGCTTTTTATTGTCATTACATTGTCACAAGTACTAAGCAGCAAAATTCACTCTCTGCATTTAACCCATTGCTTTGGGAAGCGGTGGGCTGGCATTGTGCGGCACCCGGGGAGAAGTGTCGGGGTTAAGGGTCTTGCTCAGGGGCCCAGAGGGGCAGCCCATGGGAGTGGGGTTGAATTCTTTTGGTATCCAAGCACAATGCCCTAACCACTAGGCCGCCACTCTTCTACATTGCAGTGTTGTGACGCCTGGAACCAGACTGATCAGGTCCTCATGAGGATCAAGGACTTTACTCCACAGTTACAATACTGAACTCACAGCATTTAGGGTGAACTATTAAATTATAAATTATTTTAGATACTACCTTACAACGTCATCAGTGACTTACATATAATCAAACATAATTTTCTGAACCAGTAATAGATGATGGATATAATTGGGTTAATGTTGTGGATTCTGATCATCTGTTGATTGCTTTACATCACACATAAGGACTGTAACAATACATGTATTTATACTCAGCTGCCAGGGTTGTACCGTAGGGTTTTATTCATACAAAAGGAAAATGCAACACTAGCGGGTGATCAATGTCCTCATTAAGAGGAAGGTTTCTTGTGTATTTCTTTGTTTTGCCTTAAGAGTCATGACAGAAAATAAGCTATTTTAAGCTTTTATCAATTGCAGCAGTGTTAATGACTAAACATAACTACTAATCAAAGTTTTCAGGAGCTTAAAGGCTCACTTTCTCTACCTATCAATGCTTTTTAATTAGATTTGTAAAAAAAAAAAAAAAAAAATGCTTCCAGTGATGCAGAAATAGATGTGGAAATGTGACAACCTATTTCATCACTTATTCTCCTGCTAAGCAACCCCTGAGTCTAATGATGCTAAATACTAAGCAAATACTTTCTCTAAGGTTTTATAATCTCATTAGAGACTAAAAAAAAAAATCCAGCTATTGTACCTTATAGTCCTGCCTTCCTTTTATATCCAAGTTATGAATAACCAGATTCTTCCCAGCATTAGATACCTGATATATTTTAAGCCCCTTTATGGCTAAGATGGTTGGTTATGGTCTTAAATCTTTTTAGAGCCAGAAAATTATTTTGGATTGTTTAAACTTATATGCTGTTCTGAGTTTTGCACTGGAATATCAAAACTGAGATATTCATCAAACTCTAACCAGTGTCAAATATGGCATCTAGAGAAATTAGGCTTAATAAAATCAATGTTTGACGCTAAATACTTTTTAATCCATATATATATATATATATATATATATATATA